GTCATCTATTCCTGTTTTAAAAAAGCCATCCATCTGAAGATGCATACATTCATCCACAAAATCAACCATATTGGATCCTGGTCCGCCATATTGGATCGGCCATATTCAATTTGCAATTCTAAGTTTGTATTTGTGATCAGCTACCCCCCAGGATCCAATTTGGAATTAATCTGTTGATTTTTCGAAAATCTTGTCCTACATATTGGATCCGTCATGTTGAATTTTGCAATTAAGAAATCAAATTCGTGATTAGCGAACCTAAAAACCCATATACAATTTCCATGATTCTATTTATTTATTGTAGACCCGATTTTTTTGAGGTTAGAAAAAATGAGATATGCTTATTGATTTCTAAATGTGGAATCCAGTTACAAACTATGCTAAGAAATGTGAAAAATATATTTTTTGTAGATTTTTCTCATATGTCGTCGTCTATTTTTGCTATTTTTAACCTATTTTTTGAGATTAAAAAAAAAATGACATGTTAGTGTAATTTTGACAGTGGATTCGGATTCAACGCGTCAAAATACTACAGGATATGCTAATTTGGTCAAAACCATATGACACTTTTTGTGTGGCTGTATCGTGGCATAGTGTACTATGAATGTCTTCCAACCGGCCAACAAGGAATATTAGTTGAGTGTTATGAGTCGTTTGCGTGATGCTGTTCGCCGCAAACGTCATAATTATGAACTCTTAGTTTTTGCATCATGATAATGCATCGGCTCACACAGCATTGATAAATTCGAGACCATTTCGCCAAAAATTCAACTCACATCGTTCCGCAACCACCGTATTCGCCTGATTTAGCACCGAGTGACTTCTGGCTATTCTCTAAATTCAAAAGACCACTCCGTGGACATCGTTTAGACTCGATCGAGGAAATAAAAGCCGAATCGACGAAAGCATTGAAGGCCAAACCGGAAAAGGACTTTTCAGACTGTTTCGAGGGTTGGAAAAAACGTTAGCATAAGTGCATTGTATCGGGTGGGGATTACTTTAAAGGCGACGAAATTGATTTGGAAGCATAAATAAAGATTTTTTATTTTTTAAACAAATTCACCTTATTTTTTGGACAAAGGGTTACGGCAATTTCTAATATGCAGTTATTTCTCTTGGAGTGTTTCTTATTTTATTAATACCGACCCCGTAATTGGCACATTTTCCCTAAAAATAATTTAATTAAAAAATCAATCATTTTTAATAAATTTAAGGCGGATTGTCGCCTGTATGTATGCCGTTTTTCTTTTCTACAAAGTCCGTGAATGTAATTTTGTAAATGTTTCGATTCTACATTCTTTAAAATTCAGTTTTGATGAACTTTTTATATTAACATTTCCTTTAGCATTCAAAGCACTTTTAACATAGTCAGTTGACCGTACGTTGAAAAATTCGTCATGATTTTGTACTTTTGTATTAGCCAGTAACACATTTTCAGATGTTTTCTTTATTTTCAAGTATATGAGTTTTGAAATCATAAGCTGTTACATTTTGTTGCAAGCGTTTGAGAAATAAATTGTGATACTGCATTTTCTGGGGTTTTCAATTAATTATTCGAAAGGCAAATCACATCAATGGAAAAATGTATTTGCACTTCATCTCCCTATTTTCTAAGCATGACAGGTGTAACAAATATGGCCACCAGAATAAAATGATTATTGCTATTTTATTTCTCAGGTTTATACTTATTTTTCCTCGATATTTTCATATAAACGTCAAAGTAATTGATCGTAAAAGTCAATATTTTTACTCCCTTTTTCGCAAATTTTAACAATATTCCGAAGCAGTTTCTGATAAAATACTATTACAGCCGTATCTTTTGAAGATTTCCCGCTAAGTCGTCCTGAAGCCATGATCGTTATCAAAAGTCACCAGTTGTATCTGACGACGATAACGGTGCTTACCTTTCAACGCCCAGAAGCCGTTTACAGAGCAAGAAGAAACATTCAAAATTCGCATCTCCAAACGACACTAGGGTCAATATTAACCCATATAATTTTCAGCACGCCATCGTTTTAGAGAAGGCTACCACAAAGGAATGGTTTTTCAAAATCAAAACTGACCAGACCTGAGCCGAACCACGTACTAGAGCCCTCTGCGGAGCCAGCGTTGAGGGTGATCGATGGCCTCAAGGGCCATGTAGTTCCATAATCGGAACCTGGCTAGTACATGTTGTACATTCCAAATTTTCTTGTGCTTTTAAAGATATGTAAATACTTGCTTACAATTTTAAAAAAAATGCAAACTCGAGTTGTACTTCCCATAAAAAATACAAGAGTACTCAAAGTTGGTTCCAATTGTACTTAAAGTACACCAACCAGTCTCGTACACCCTGCTGTGAAAATGCTTAGGGATGCACAGCTCCTAAAGCTGCTATACAGGAGCTCCTAAAGCTGCCGTACCTCCAAGGAGGCTAATGATATATTAAGCTTCTAAAGCTACACACGCAGGCTCTATAAGGAGAGGATAAACTTTAGTGCCTTAGCCCACCACCACATAGACATAGCGATAAAAAGACGTAAGAGTATCATATTCGATTGTACTCCATAAAAATCAAGTGTTTCAGTTGAAAACCTTCAAAATGAAACAATACTCATAAAGTAAAGTATGTAAATCGCAGGTCTCAGTGCATGTTTAGATACAAAAATAGAGCGTAGAGGAGTTCTCCATCAATGGAGAACGAGCGGCAGCATCGATGTCATCTGTCTCAAGCATCCGCTGAAGTTGGCGTGAAGAAGCCCGAGCATTCTTGAAATCCCCTTGCAGACAAGCAAACAACTAACCCAGTACCGCGGGCAAAACTGGAACCCCCAGGTAAATCTGATTCCAAACTGGGGTTCCTTAATATGCTAAGGGATAATGTTCATAAGCAAGAGACCAATTAAAGAAACTTCATATAGGACAAAACCACTTTATTCTTTAATTTGTCATTAATTCTCATTAATTTGAGTTTGAAGGGATACGCAGTGATGTTAATCTGTTAGAAATAGATCAGTGTAGGTAAATTGGCTCTAAGAGAATCCATAAGAATGAATCATGAATTAGCTCGAAAATACAGGAAAGAGAAGCTCAACCCTATGTAAATCCCAACTAATATTATAAATGTGAATGTAAGTTTGTTTGTTACACTTTTACGCGAAAACTACTTAACCGATCATCATGAAACTTTGTACACATATTCTTGGAGGTATTAAAAGTAACATAGGATACTTTTTATTAAAAAAAGTTGCACGAAATCAATTAATGGCTTCAATGCGAGCGAAGCCGCGGGTAAAAGCTAGTGCTTAATAAATATGTGCTTAAGGGTCATTCCTTATCATTCTACCCTCGTTTTTTACCTTTCTACCTAGTAAAGATGGTAAAAACTGAAGTTTTAGGAAAGTTTCCTGCGATCAAAAAAATTAAATCTATGAAAAATATAATTGGCTGTTGCATTTCGAAGAAGATATAAACTACTGTTCTTCGATTATTTGTCTCTTTTTAAAATTTCCTTTTTTTTGTTACAGTGATATACTGTGTTATACATTTGTTTTGATAGTTTGCGTAATATTTCGGTTTATTTACTTGACCCACCACATTGGATAAATTAAAAATTGTCATGAAACCAGTGCATATATTATATTTATGTTTTTCCGCTTTTAAATTTACAGATATTTTGTTATGAAAAAAATATTGTATTATAAAAGGTGTTTTACAGTAAATTTATGGCGTTTCAATGGATTCTTTTTAATAAGTTTTTATAAAGAGTAATTTTATAACATGCAAGAAATCTTTATTTGACTTCCATGTAGTTGTTTCTGTGGGGGATCTAAGACAAAGTAAACAAAGAAAAATTTACATAACCCAAGGGAGGAGCGAAGTACTTTCAATGAGGTGAGTAGCAGGGCAGTCTAATTTACTTATAATCCTACCTTTCTTATACGGAAGCAAACGCATAAACCCAATAGAAACAGGAAAACTAAAAAAAACTTCTTAAATGAAGTCAGTAATGCGACCTGTGACTTTATTTTCATTCTTTGAGATATATTTTTAAGTTGACGTCAGTTTGGATGACATTTTTGTGCACTATAAAACCAATGTATTTCAGATGTTAGTATAGTTCTACGTAAAAAATGTTTCGGGCACAATTTGGTATTAGGAAGGGATATTTTTTCTTTATTTATTGAATATTCTGCCATCGGTGAACAAAATTTGAAAAACCAGTGAAATAATCATACAGTCTTGACTATGTCCAGGGTCACTAAATAAACAAAATATTGTGCAAACTGTCAAAGAAAATATATAAAACGTACCTATATATCATTGTAATCAGAAAAAAGGAGGAGAATCCAAAAAACGACATATATTTGTGTTCAGTTTAATAAACAACCCATATCTTGGAAATGCAAAAGTTAACTGTCTTTTTATGGATTGGTTTGAAATCCGAAGAATATCTCCTAAAATTGTAGTTTTTGATGTTTTTACCAAAATAGAAAAGAAAAAAAATGTAACTAAAAGGAAGCACATTTATACAGTCCAGTTAATCAATTCCCCAAAAATTGTGTTCTTTCTGTTCATTGTTTATTACCAACTTCAATTTAGTACAACTACTTTCTATCAAATCTAACCCACTAGTCATACATATTTTTTATAGAAATATAAATTTCTCAGTATGCCATTCTAAATTATGATTCCGAAACTAATGTAGTATGTATTAGTAGTATTCAGTTTTGATAAAATACCAATTCAGCAAAAGTTTCCTATTAAATATCTACATACCATTTTTTTTATCTATTCTAATGAGAAACATCCATTTGACAAGATGCAGAAAATACCATCTAATTCTATTATAAAATAATTTAAAATGATTCCCGAAATTAGACATGTATTATTATTTTCACTGAGTAGAGCTATCCTTCCACAATCTTTCTCTCTTTCTCAGTAAATTCGAGCCACAGCGTATAAATCAGCTTAGCCTCAAGAGGAGAACAAATAACAAAACAAAAAGCTCTCGCACGTACCGTGAACGTCAATGCATCCGAATTGCTTTTTCATCTCTCCAGTATTAATTTGGCACATGTAGCAGCCACGGTCAGACTCCTTCAGCTGCCTGATGCGCAGTTGCCACGTCTTCAGGCTGTCGTCGTGACTAACGGTTATCCTGGGGTTGTGCGTTATAACGCGGGTATGCAGGGCAAGGATGGTCTGGTCGTCCGCCTTCATCCATCCAACCTGGAAGAAATGAGTAAAGTTAAACTGGGGGGACTTTCCCGCCACGTACAACTGTTTGGTAAAATAGATTAATATTCTTCTCGTACTATATAGGATAGGAAACATAGTACGGGCATATAACGATTTTCTTATTAAATTTGTGATACAGAAAGTTAAAGATTATACTCTTTCAATGTTTCTATCTTAATCAGCTAAAGATTAAGAAAATCTTGTAAACAGTGTAAAGCATTCCATTGTCAATATTAATAACGTGGATGCGAGTAGTTTGAGGAGTATAATTGAAGGAGACATGTTAAAAGTTCTTTTTGCAAACTTCAAAGGATAATACAAAATAGCCAAGTACATTTGCCGAGAAAAATGAAGGAAAACTCTTACTGCTGTGTCGTAAAACTGTTATGTTATTTAATAGAATAACACAAACTAAGTGTAATACGGTAAAAAGTCTGCGATAAGACAAAGGCTTATTATGATAAAACTGCCCATGAAAGGTCTGAATTTAAAAAAATGGTAATGTTATATTTAAAATGAAAAGGGATTATAAATGGAGGCCTGGAATTGTTTTAGAAAGTCATAACACCCTTAGGTCATTTATTGTTCAAGATGGGAATGGTTCTGTTTATCGTAGAAATTCTTCATTTCTAAAACATTCCAAAAATCTTATGACTCCTGATAATTTTGTAAATGTTGAGGATGACGATGATAAGTTAAATGCTAGTCATAACAGTAGATTTAGTAGTCAAAAAATTGTAACTAGAAATAGTACAAGTGATAGTTATTGTGAATGTCCTAAGTGTTCTAAAAGTGAAAATAGTGATACAAGACACTTTAAGTAAGAAAAGTTCTCAATCTGGATGTATTATCAAAATGCCTAACAAGTATAAAGATTACTGTTTGTCGTAAGTTAATAGTAGTTGGTAGGATCTAGATTAAAAAAAAGGGAGATGTTACATATGTTGGTAACGCTGTAACAAGGAACTGGCCTTGAAGTTAGGTTAAAGAGTTAGAGTAGAGAATGGCGGTATCATGTGCATTGTAATGATAGCCTAATAAAGTGACCGGTGTGAAAACAGCAGCCAAAATTGGCAGCTGAATTCTACGGAAACGGCCGAGTCCACATAGGCGTCGTAGTTAGCAAAGTGGGGGCATGGGAATTGTCAGTGGTACGAGCGTCCGCAGGAACATTGAATGTGAGTCGCAATTTTAAACTTTAAAAGTATGTATAGCGTCAGAAAGAGTTTTTATGGCATAACACCGCATTTAACATAAACGTAAGAAAGTATAGGGCTAAGACACCCTATCTTAAACAATTATTATGATACCATTGACATGTATCTAATTCAGAATAATATAGTACAAGTCAAATAGCATTGCATTATATAGCATAACAAAAATCAATAAAAATCGTGTTGCTCATAAAGCACCACTGTCAGGCCGTCAGAGGGATCAAAATACCCCATCCTGAAAAATAAATAATTTCTCCGATATTACTCATACTGCCTGGGTCAAATTAATACGGGATGAAAAGGAACTTAATATAAGTAGAATAACATAAACGCCAATTACTACCAGGCCGTCAGTGGGATGAAAACACCCCATATTGAAAAATAAATAATTTTTAACTCCGATATTACTCATACTGCCAGGATGAAATTAATATGGCATCAAAAAGGAACTTAATACAAGTAGATTAGCACATACCCCGATCGCTACCAGGCCGTCAGAGGGATGAAAACACCCCNCTCGAACTTTGGGCGCATTTGCAAAGCCAAATCTCATAAGGCTAAATTAAATATTGTCAACTATTTATTATCTGATAAAAAAGTAACAACTCCAGCTATGAGATACGGGATTCAAAACGAAAAAAAGGCTGTAGAAAAATACATCGACCTGACAGGATACGATTACCAAAAATCAGGGTTAATTATTCATCCACACTATCCATATTTAGCGGCATCTCCGGACGGATTAATCAACAGTGATGGGATTGTGGAAATTAAATGTCCCTACAGATTAAGACATCATGGAAGTATTAAAAGCGTCAATCTTGAGTACCTCGATGATGACGGGAAGTTGAAAAAGCGTCATAATTACTATTTTCAAATTCAAGGCGTATTAGAGATAACGAACCGTCCTTGGTGTGATTTTGTCGTTTACACTGACAACGATATCCACATCGAACGAATATTAAGATGCCATCAATTTTGGGACAATATGTTTGAAAGGTTAAAAGAATTTTACCTGTTTTATTGTCTTCCCAAAATTGTCGAACCACATAAAACTCTAAATAATTTCGACCGTAAATGGACCACATTGAAAAATATGGTTTTCTTAGATAATGGACTGGTAGATGATCACCAATATTATAAGACTTTGCCGGACATGAGAGATTATACAGTTGCAGTTTTTGAAAATATAGAGTGTTGCATAAAGGAAATTTTATGCTCGGACTTTGTATCGTTGAACGGGACAACGTGGATTGTAAATTTTGTAATTGATATAGCCCTAAATTTATTAAACGTAAACAATGTATTTCAAATAATACCAGAAGAAATGTCCACTATTATATTTACATATGATAATTTTCCTGCGGACTTTGTACAACGTATAAATTTCCAATCTTCTTTAGTAGCTATGCCAATATTAGTTAATAACAATCACTGGTGCCTGAACATAATGGACTTTGATAAAGGAGTCTATAGTTTTATTAATCCAATGGGAAGCAATAAAGTCCAAACGGAAATTTATTTCAAAAAATTTAAAAAATTCCTTTTACTACACAGTAATATGTTAAATCGTTCGATTAACTGCGACAATATAAAACTAAAAATATACGATCATTTGATCCAGACAGACGGATATAATTGCGGTGCATTTATATTGTATTATTTTCAGCAAATCATTAATAATAGAGAACTAACAGATTACTGCAGCATGGAAGAATATAGAATATACATAAAACAACTAATTCTCCGCAAATCAAACCTGATGAAAACAAAATGTTTACTTTGCGCAAAAAACTGTTCGCAGAACGATTATATTACGTGTAGGTTTTGTAGAAGATATATACATATTGCGTGTATTGCCTTAAGAGGAACAATTTTCATCAAAAACGGTATGTGCAGCATCTGTCGACAGTATTAATTAAGAATAAACTACAGATATTTTTAAATGGAGATATTAATGCGTAACTAGATGCATAATTATTAAAGTGGAAGGCATTTTCCTTCTGATAGCCTGTCTGTGAGCACCATCGCCCTTGTTGTACCTAAATTTCCGAGATAGAAATTAGATATTTTTTATAATATGGCGTTTTTAACGATCTAATGGCTCGGTAGTAGTAGCCGCTTAAGTAAGTAGTAGTAGTAGTAAGTTATTTTGTGAAAAAAAGTTCATATAAATGTAGGTCGAAATATGCCCCGTTTCGGAGATACAGTGTTTAAATTTAAATTTTTTATTTATTTCTATTAATTTATTTCAAAGAGTTTTAAAAATATTGACTCGAAATTTGGAATATGCTTTGGAGGGATAAATGTGCATTTTTTGGGGTGATCCGAATATTTCTACTTGCATCTTTAAATAAAAGATTAAAAAAACCTACAATAAACATGTTTTATTTTTTCCTCAAAAACGGTTCATCCTACGAAAAAATTGAAGAGACCAATTTCATTCAGAATTGATAGCGGATTTCTAAAAAAATATCAAAACGGGAAAAAGTCAGAGGCGTATCATTTTTTTTTTATTAAAAATGCGTTTTTCAAATTTCGACTTAATGTCTTTAAAACTCTTTGAAATAATTAATAAAATAAATAAAAAATTAAAATTTAAACACTCCGTATCTCAGAAACGAAGCATATTTTGACATTTACGTTTATATGAATTTCTTTTCACAAAATAACTTCGGCAACCACCCCCTGAATTATTTCGCATTTATTTACAAACACGCTGTATATACATATTACAATTGCAGTCGATGTAATAGGATGTATCATTGCGTGTAATTTCGAACGTATAAATTAAGTATTCATATTATTTTTAGTACAGGATGTTTTGATTCTCCGACAGGTTTCTCAATTAGAAATTAGGTACTTTTTAATACAAGGTATTTTAATCTCTCTGACGGCCTGGTAGCTGTATGCAACATATCTCATTCTACCTGTAATATATTTCGTTTTATGCTATTATAATTGAATCCTGGAACAAAGTGTAATATCGACGTAAGCAATTGAGTTCTGCTTACTATATGGTGTTCACCTCCTTCTGACAGTCTGTTAGCGATTAGCTTATAGGTCACCACACATGTAATAAGTTAATCCATATGTTATATTAACTTGACCCTGACAGTATGAGTGACATGGAAATTAGAAATTATTTATTTTTCAATATGGGGTGTGTTCATCCCTCTGACGGCCTGGTAGCGATCGGCGTAGGTACTATTCTACTTCTATTAAGTTCCTTTTTATGCCGTATTAATTTCATCCTGGCAGTATTTGTAATATCGGAGTAGAAATTATTTATTTTTCGATATGGGGTGTTTTCATCCCTCTGACGGCCTGGTCTGTCGATCGACGTCTGTGATTTTCTACTTGTATTGCGTTCCTTTTAATGCCCTATTAATTTCATCCTGGCAGTATGAGTAATATCGGTGTTAGAAATTATTTATTTTTCGCTAAGGGGTGTTTTCATTCCTCTGACGGCCTGGTAGCGGTCGGCATCTGTGCTATTTTACTTGCATTAAGTTCCTTTTTATGCCGTATTAATTTCATCCTGGCAGTATAAGTAATATCGGAGTTAGAAATTATTTATTTTTCGATATGGGGTGTTTTCATCCCTCTGACGGCCTGGTAACGATCGACATCTGTGCTATTCTACTTGTATTAAGTTCCTTTTTGTGCCGTATTAATTTCATCCTGGCAGTATGAGTAATATCGGAGTTAGAAATTATTTATTTTTCAGGATGGGGTGTTTTCATCCCTCTGACGGCCTGACAGTGGTGCTTTATGAGCAACACGATTTTTATTGATTTTTCTTATGCTTTATAAACCAATGCTATTTGACTTGTACTTTATTATTCTGTATTAGCTACATGTCAATGGCATCATAATAATTTTTAAAGATAGGGTGTCTTGGCGCTATACTTTCTTACGTTTATGTTAAATGCGGTGTTATGCCATAAAAATTCTTTCTGACGTTATAGAGACTTTCAAAGTTTAAAATTGCGACTCACATTCAATGTTCCTGCGGACGCTCGCACCACGGACAATTCCCATGCCCCCACTTTGCTAACTACGACGCCTATGTGGACTCGGCTGTTTCCGTAGAATTGAGCTGCCAATTTTGGCTGCTGTTTTCACACCGGTTAAACTGTGGTCCTCAACGCTCCCCAAAGGAAATAATTACATGGGTTTAGGTCCGGGGATCGAGGTGGCCATTTTAAAGGGGCATTATTTTCTCTATCTATCCACCTGTTAGGATAGTACTCTAAGTATTGTCTTACCGATAAGGGTAGGGCCCCATCATGCATGAAAAGCATTCGAAGTGTTGTCGATAGCTCTTCAGGCAGTTAGAGTAATATCCTTTGGAGAAATTGTAAATAATTTTTTGCGTGCAATGTAGCAGGTAACATAACAGGACCAATTAAAATACTACCAATAATAGCAAGCCTAAACATTAATCTTAAATTCATGGTGGAACCATCTTTTACTGATTCCATGTGGATTTTCATCACAATAAGTAAACATGTTCATTATGTGAAATAAAAATATCCATTCTAGTAAAAGCAGTTTCGTCTGTAAACAGGATGTTCTTGTGGATATTATCGTTTCTATTTCTGAGTTACTGAATACTTTGACTGAAAGCAAGACGGAGGCAAAAGTTCTTGAACTAATTGAAGGTGGAATGGATGTAATAACTGGCCTTGTAATACTCTATTAACTAAACTTTTTGAAAGCCAACCTTTGTCGCTAAACGCAATAACCCAATGTGTAAAATATGCCAATTGTACCCGAAATCCATAAACGATATCAAAATTTTGTAAAAGGCAAAAAATCTTCTAAAATAGTGCTTATTTTTTAAATTACAAATTCTGGCGTCACTGGTGTACACATAAAAAAGTTACGGGATAGTCCGTGGCGCACAGGCACTAGAGAACACCCTGTGTATGTATTCTCACCAAATTTTTTATTTACATTACTCTTATATAAAATGTATGTGTACCAAATTTGAAGTTTCTAAGAAAAACAGTTTTCAAATTATGTGAAAAAACTAGGTTATCTGTTCTATATTTAGGAGGCTATATCTCAGTAGGCGTGCACTTTTGTATATAGGTAAACTATGCTAAATAGTAGATATTATTTTCATCCAAGTGGTCAAGCGTTGTCATCCTCTTCAGGGACACCCTGTATAAAATCCGATGAATCCGTAACAAAAATGTTGAGCATTGTCGAATAAAAATTATTTAAATCCACGTATTGGTCAATTGGGCTAGGAAATTTACCACAATTTATGTAATACGAGTACCATTACAACTTGGCCAATTGCTCGATCAATTTGCTGTGTTAAAGGATGAAAATGTAAAGCAGGTCATACATATACGTATATAATTTAGGTAATTTTTAACTGTTTAAGAGATTTTTGCTTCTAGGAACCATCATCGATGGTGTTGACACGACCCAGATGTCCAGAGAACAACTGGAAGTATTTTGCCACAGAATAAAAGAAGAAAATGAGAGGGAACGCGAAGAACGCAACTTCTTTCAGTTGGAAAGAGACAAAATTCGTACCTTTTGGGAGATAACTAGAAACGAATTGGAAGAAGCAAGAGCAAAACTAAGGTAAGGAACCCCCAAACATTAATCCGAAAATTGCTCTTTTACGTTTGACCTAAATATTCAGTCTTTCTCATGCTTAGAAACAAGGATCGTCAAATCGAGGAATCGACCGAAAAGAACGACGAAGAACTGAAGTTCTACAAGCAAAAAGTGAAGCACCTGCAATACGAACACCAAAACAATTTAACGGAATGCAAGGCTGACGCATTGGTGTCCCTGAAAAACGCCCAGGACGACTACACGGCCCAAGAAAGGGAACTGCTCAAGGACAAAAGAGATTTGAAAAGCTGGACGAGGGAGCAAGAACAAACACATCAGGACCAAATAAGAACAATAAAACTTGTACGGAAATTAACAGATACTTTTAACTTGCGTCTCTATTGCTTTCCCTTTTTTTTTTCTAGCAACATAGCGAAGAGATAAATAAAATCAGAGGCGAATTCGAGTGTAGGGCCAAGGAACTCGAACTGAAATACGAGAAAAAATTCAGCGACTTGAAGACAGAGCTCAACACAAAACACAAGTAAGTTCTACAATGATAATAATTAATGAAAGATAACACTATTTCTTTTTACATTTCAGCATGGAACTGGCAGAAATAGATGAAAGGAAGAACTCCCAAATCAACGAACTAATTGCTCATCACGATAAAGCCTTTAACGAAATGAAAAATTATTACAATGACATCACTTTGAACAATCTGGCTCTGATTAGCAGTTTAAAGGTATGTTTTTATTATTGATGCACCCCTGTTCCACATTTTTGGACAGTTTACCGAAAACTCCACACGACACATTTGCTGAAAATTGTTTCTGAAACTATGTACGTCATGAGGATTAGCACCACATCAATAGTGAGTGTTATGAAAATTCAGTTTTGCGTCGTTTGTAAAGCAGCGATCTGTGAAGAGAACTGTATTTGTATAATCTGGTTGTTGAAAATCAGTCTGCGGCTGAAAATAATTTGAATTCACAGCCTGCACACGTACATGATAAAGGCACAGTAACTTCTCCCGTAACAAACGCCACACAGTAGTGTTTGACACTCTCGCGTGCAATATCGCGGGTACTGTGGCTCGGGTTTTCTCGACAAGATCTAAAATGTCTTCCTCCCTATTTAAGACACCTTTTGGCGTGGTATTTTCTTGCTCACGACCTTCATACGTTGTGTTCACTTTACCGGTGATAATTCAAACACTCAAACTCAAAGTATTAAAATTTAAATAATATAATTCCTCACATAGGTACTTATAGTAACGTTATTAATGTGTCGTGTGCCAAAAGTTAGTTTGGAATTAAACGTAAGACCCAAACTCTTGAATTGTTCATATTTTGTTAAAAATATCGTATCAGTCCTAATGCATCTTTTTGGCAGATGACATGCAAAAACACTTTTCAATTTTAAATGGTAAGAAGTTACATCATGTATTAATCCTTGTTAGATTAAACTGTAATTCCAAGCTGTCGGCTATGTCTTCGGTACACCTTGAACAATTTTAAGTCGTCAGCATACATCAGGGTGTTGTGTGAATATTCAAGCTGATGTTATTTATAAATAAATTAAACAAAAGTGGCCTCAAGACCGAGCCTTGAGGTACACCTGACGTTGCATACACTTCACCCTATTTTAATCCACGGTTCTGAACATATAATGAGATAGGTAAGACTGGAAAAAAATTGATAAAATTTAGTGTCAACCCATAAAAAAACAACTTATCCAGTAACATATCATTATCAAGTATGGCAAAAGCTTTTGATAGGATAGTATGACATCAGCCTGACCTTCCCTCCTGAGATTTGTAATGCGTACTGATCAATGTATATCAGATAATATCTGATAATTTTTTTACAGTGCAATATCCAATATTCTAGTATGTAAATATATAAATAGTCCGGTCAAATTAGTCATAAAAATAGTGGTTAAATAACGAAAATTCCGACAGAGCTAAATTTTGGTGGAGATCTTGGGCAGACCATTAGAAATAAAGTGTCAAAAGTCCCCATCCCTCCCATGTGTGCTAAAAGAGTTATTCGGAGTCAAAGATCAAAATTTGAGTTTTTTTGGATTTTTTTCGAAAACGGTAAGTTTTATCAAAAACGTAGTCCTGACAAAAATTATAGATATTAAAATTATCTACAAAAATGGTCCTTATACTTTTTTTCTACGAATCACCATTCCTAAGATATCGTGATTCTAAAAGTTGAAGGAGTCACGTTCTAAATGATATGCACATACAAGGTAGCCCATCGAAAACGTACCGCAAGGCATTACAGGGTAGTAATGAACTTTTCGGCAAAATCCAAAAACAGGTCAAATTTGTTTCTGAGGGGGACAACTTTTGTCTCAAAGAGCATACCAAAATCTTCAACCCCCTAAGTGGGGGTGCTATCCCCTAAATTTTTTCAAANGAACTTAATACAGGTAGAATAGCACAGACCCCGATCGCTACCAGGCCGTCAAGGGATGAAAACACCCCACATTGAAAAATAAATAATTTCTACTCCGATATTACTCATACTGTCAGGATGAAATTAATACGGCATAAAAAGGAACTTAATGCAAGTAAAATAGCAGAGATGCCGACCGCTACCACGCCGTCAGAGGGATGAAAACACCCCTTATCGAAAAATAAATAATTTCTAACTCCGCTATTACTCATACTGCCAGGACGAAATTAATACGGCATAAAAAGGAACTTAATACAAGTAGAATAGCACAGACCCCGATCGCTACCAGACCGTCAGAGGGATGAAAACACCCCATATTGAAAAATAAATAATTTCTAACTCCGATATTACTCATACTGCCAGGATGAAATTAATATGGCATACACTAATGATATTCCATATCTCCGTTACTATGGGTCGGACAAAAATATTTATTTGAAGAAAAATATTTACTTTAATGTCATTAATATGGAAACTTATGAAAAAAAATTACGATAAACATTAATTTTACAGTGGCGTAGGGCATTTATCTTTCACATGTACTTTAGTAACATTGAAGTAAATATTTTTCTTCAAATAAATATTTTTGTCCGACCCATAGTAACGGAGATATGGAACATCATTAGTTAGCGAAAAATGTAGATTTAATTCAAGGTACCTCTAGTCCGACCGCCGCGCGGCATCGACTTTCAGCGCTGAACGGTTCGTACAGATATCGCTTGCGATCTGCTGCCTGTGTGTTGTTGAGTTATCTGATTTGCTTTTGCTCTATACATATATATAATCTCTTGTTTTTGCTATTTGAAGGATTAGAATTTTCTAATTTTTCGAAATAGTTGAAGGCGGTTGTGCCATTGTTTTATTTTCTTTATTCAATAGAATACGCTTTTGTTTACTTTTCGTTTATAATATGTATATTAACCTTTTGCTGTAAATACTTATATATTTATTTTTATTATAGGTTTGCTTTTAAATAGAATAATTTTTTATTTTTGTCACAATTTTGGTGACAGCAATTTGAAGGATTGCAGAATTTCTTAATTAATTTAATAACTGGTTTTGTTTACTTTGAATTTGCTACTATTTTATTTTTTATACGATTTACAGATTCTTACGTTTATAACATATTCAAAATGGTTTTTGAGAGGAATACAGAACAAATTTTAAATAAGATCGGTAATATTCTGACTTCTGACTTTCCTATGATGAAATACGAAGATATTTTGCATTTATCATCTAAGGATAAATTCATAACTAGTGTTGCGGTAAAATTAAATTCAAAATATTTGCGTCATCCGAGTAAGGTACTTCGCATGATTCACAGGAATAAGGTATTTTTTGAGAATTACTTACGTGGAAAAAATGAACAAATCCGCAAAAAGACGGAAGATTATAATATTTGGGACTATATAGAGAAAAATTTTACTGATATGCGATGCATACATTCTTATCGGCCCACAGATTCTATATATGGGGAAGCGTGTAGATATTTCAAGAGAAAAAATAATTTGAAGAACACAAAACAATTTTATTATAAATATTTGACTACTAAACCAAAAAAGATTAAAGATTCTGAACTATCGCTGGGAAAGAGCAACACCATTTGTAATTCACACGTACCAACTGATAAGGGTTGTCCATTCGTGGAAGTTATTACATCCACTCCTAATCAAAGTTTATCAGATGACATGAAATTGGAGAATACGATGGAGGAACCAATGCCTTCTCCTATATTAAAATCTATAGACCGCTTTCAGAAATCCTTTACACATGAAACTAATAAACTGAATGTATATACATCGCTAGAGGACGATAAACAGCTTGATAATTCTAGTAAAAATATATATTCTACTGAAGAACAATTGTATGAATTCAATATAACATCTGAGGAATCTAATGTACCTCATGGTATATTAAATTTGTCAGTAAACAACGAACAAAAAAGAATACCACATATCTCGAAAAATCAAATCAATTTACCACCATCTAAGTTTAAAGATTGTAATATAAAGGAAGGTTCGTTTATAATTACAAACGCCGAATGGGGAGCTATTATAAATGAAGGTAAACTAAATGGCAGGCTTTATCCACATTATTTTAAAAATCGTACCGCAAAATATGTAGCGTAATATTTAAATGTGTCAAATATTTAGAATCGGGTATTATTAAAATTTTCGTAACAGTTTTTGTTTCTTCTATAAATTTCTGCCACAAAGGGATTGTTGCGACTTATGTAAAAGGAATTGAAAGATCGTTGGTCAAGAAAGCGCTGCTTAAAAGAAAACCGTCCGAGTATAAAAAAAACAAAATCCTAGAAGCTAAAGGAGAACTATTGAAATGTGGTAATTTACAGTGTATCAAGTCAGATTCGACTTTACGAAAGATCAAGTCGGAGGCATTGGCACAAAAACGACATCTTAGATTTAATATTGATGCAATTAGAACATGCAGAATACATAAAACAAGTTTCGGTTCCGTTCAATGTTAAAATTTATAGCGAAGAACAGGAATATATTTTGTTCCGGCAAAAGACTAGTGACAAACTTCCTGTGTTATATTTTGATGCTACTGGTGGCATTATTAGAAAACCATATCAGACTGCAACGCGAGTTTATTTATATTCGGCAGTTATAATAACATCTCAAACAGGAAGGATAATTCCAGTATTTGAAATGATTTCGGAAGTTCACAATTCCACTTCTATTTTTAATTTAATGTACGATTTTCGAAGCTTCTGTGAAGAAAGGCGACACTGGCCATCGTTTCATAGTATAGTAACAGATTTTAGCTTCGCCAATTTACACGGGTTAACGAAAGCATTGAACAGAAAAACTTTATCAGAATATTTAGAAACGGCCTATGCAATAATTTGTGGGGGTGTTAATTTACCTAATACATTTATTACTATTCATCTGTGTTGCGCTCATTTCATGAAGATGATATCTAGAGACCTAAAAGATGCTTATGAGGATACCTTCAGGGTACTATTCATTAAACAAGTAATTGGTAAATGTATCACTATGAAAGATTTCAAACAAATAGAGAGGTGGTTCTACTACGTGGCCGTGTTACTTGGCGAACGAAACAATAATTCTGCTACGATTGACGCATACCATAACCTTTTGTCATTGTGCAACAGCGATGAAAATATGGAAGCCGAATTCATTAAAGGGGAAAATATTCAAATGCCGGCGTCCGCCAAAAATGAGATTGATGATAATGTGAGTTTGATTAAATCTAGCCCATTTTACAAACATTTCACCTCTCTTTTACCAGT